CTTGGATGTTTTTCCCTGATATTGTGCCAATTGGTCATCCTATTTTCGATATCATTAACTCGACTGATCCTGAGGTAGTAACGCGTTTGTGCTATTTCGATTTCACTAACTCGAAAGTTCTCATCTTTCTCAAAGTTGAAGTTGCATATTCTTTTGGTTTCATGATTGTTCTATAATGCAATTATGTGTTTGGACAGATTGATTGGGATATCAGATTGGCGTGTCTTCTGTTATTCTCTTTTTATCGGGATGATCACTTCTGGCGACTCTATGGCGATTTCCTTCCTGCTGCTGATGAGTGCAGCAGCCTGCTTTTAGCTACAGAGGTGGATTGATTTTCATTTGAACCTGATCACATTTACTTCTCAGTGTTAACCGTATCTATTAACTGATCCTTTGATGATATATAATTCTGTGTTTTGTTATAGGAAGACCTTGCGGAGCTTCAAGATCCTGATCTTGTTTCAACTATTAGACAACAACAGAAACGAGTCCTAGAATTTTGGGAAAAGAATTGGGTAACGAGGCATGAAGCCTAATATTTGTTTTCCAATATATCTTGACATTTGGTTATGGCTGTTTTTTTCATTGACAAGTTGTATTCCAACTCAGCATTCAGGTGTTCCTCTCAAAATCAAAAGGCTTGCCGAAGATCCGGAAAGATTCATATGGGCGGTTAGTATCGCACAGACACGATGCATCAGTATGCAAACTAGGATCGGTGCTTTGGTTCAGGAATTAAATATGATGATTCCTTATGCTGGTAAGGAAGAGTTTGTTCTTTGGTTATTGATAGATTAACATTTACTATCAATGAACTTGGTGTCGAGGAACAAAATTGATCATATAGTTTTTTCATCATCTTCTCTGCAGACATGCTAAACCACTCCTTTGAACCAAACTGTTTCCTGCATTGGCGTCCTAAAGATCGCATGCTTGAGGTTATGTCAAATGCTGGTCAAGCAATTAAGAAAGGTGAAGAGGTAAAGGACTCAAATGTTCCATAAATGATATATGTCAGATTCACTTCACTGCAGATTGCCAAATTGAAAAATGTTTTGCATCTTCTTATAATGCTTTTCACAGATGACGATAAATTACATGCCAGGCCAGAAAAACAACATGCTTATGGAAAGATACGGCTTCTCAACACCTGTGGTAATGCTTTTTACAACAATCACGTTCGTCTTACACAAACTATGGTTACTTTGCAAGTTTTCTTGTTTAATCAATTTTTTCGTTCTGCTGCAGAATCCGTGGGATGCTATAAAGTTCTCTGGAGCTTCTCGCATCCATTTAAATTCCTTTTTATCGGTCTTCAATATTTTTGGTCTTCCTGAAGAATATTACCATGACAGTAAGTTCCTTTTCTTCTTTCTCCTCTCTATTTCTCGACAAAAGATGGAGAAATGAGCACCAATGTTACCTAAATCTGTGTCAGGCGAGTTATCGGGAGGTGATACTTTTGTTGATGGAGCAGTTATAGCTGCAGCAAGAACATTGCCCACTTGGTCAGACATAGATCTCCCTCCAATTCCAAGTGCGGAAAGAAAAGCAGTTAAAGAATTGCAAGATGAATGTCGAAAGATGCTTGCGGAATATCCCACAACAGCAGACCAAGACCAGAAATTGCTAGGTATTACACTAAAGATATATACACCGATGTGTTATTATCGCTCATATATTAAAACTTTAGCTTTCCCTCTTGTTTTTTTTTTGTGACAGATTCAATGTCAGAAGCAAGGACAACGTTTGCGACAGCGGTTAAGTATAGAATGCACAGAAAGATGTTCATTGGAAAGATCATCAAGGCACTTGACATCTACCAAGAACGGTTACTGTTTTGATTCAAGCGAAAAATAACTCAATTCGATCTTTCAAGAACGGTTACTTGGTCCTCACTCCCTTTGAGCTACTTAGAAACTGCACCATGGAATTGAAAGGTTCCTGTTTTCGTTTAGTGTAAGCTTATGTATTTGTATGGAACAGTTAGACTAAATGTGTTAGTTTGTTTTAATCGCAATCACAAACCAATCATAACTTCTTCTTTTTTGGCTGTTTAATGGGTTTGATTAGCCAACGAACGCTTTGGAATCATCTGTTTTATTTTTCTGATCTTGTAATGGTGGTTGGTTACAAGTAAAACCATTTGGTAGGACTAGTTTAAGACTCAAATTAACCCTTAATTATTTTGTTGATTAATCCCTTTTCATGTTTTTAGTCCCTAAGCATGATTTGTCTCAAATGGTTTTGAGTAATTTAATGTTGCTTGTTAAAATTCTCAATGGTGAAACGGGGATGATGATTAGTCATAATAATTGATCATTACTTATACTATTAATTAACCTTGTGGTTACACTAATCAATCAAATCATATATATTGCGTTTCTTTTACTCTTTGTCTAACATTACTCTTTTCAAAAAAAGTTACAGTCCAAACCAAACAAACCTACTCTGAGTTATGCAGAACCATAAGCAATCTATTTCTTACCTTTGGCTACTTATATGATACATTGACTAACTTGGTTCTTAATAATTATATTAGCTTCTTTATATCTTCAATATGTTGAATATCTTATTCTTGAAGTAAAACTAGGCCTGGGCAAAAAAACCGTACCCGAGTACCCGAACCGAAACCGACCCGAAAAAACCGGTTCGGGGCGGGTACGGGTATTAGCTATTTACCCTATTGGGTCTTGTATTGTCGTACCCGTGGGTATAGGGTAAAACCCGATCCGAACCCGATACCCGAACGGGTACCCGATTACCCGAAATTACTTATACTTATACATATAAAAACTTTATATATATGTAATATTTGAGCTAAATACATTTATATCCAAATATCCGAGAGTAATTACCAAAAATTAAATGCACTTATATTTATATATTTAAGACTAAATATATTTATACGCGAGATGCTTGTAAATTTTTTAAATATTTGGACAAAATTCCGGTTATTCGGATAAATTTTTGGGTGAAACTCGGATATTTGAGTAAAATTGCGGATAAAATTTGGATATTAGAGTAAAATTTCGGGTATTTGGTAAAATTTTGGGTATTTGGGTATAAAATACCCGAACCCGATGGGTGCCCGATTTTTTCGGGTATTTAGCGGTTCTAAAAATCTAAACCCGAACCGACCCGAACCCGATTAGACCCGAACCGAAACCGAACCGATATTTTAGATTTACCCTATTGGGTCCTAAACTCCTCTACCCGAAAGACCCGTACCCGATCGGGTTTTACCCGAATCCGACCCGCATACCCGAATGCCCACCCCTAAGTAAAACCACTGTGTGTTTCACAATCCTTGTCATGCTTAATAAAATTACTTAACATATTACTTTGAATTTAAGATTAAATTAAGTATATAATCAACCAAACAATAGACTAAAAAACATAAAAGTAAGCATCTTGACCTTTTTGGTGGATCGAAGATAATTCCTTTGTCTCATTCTTTTGGATTTAGAATCTCGTTCAATAGAATATTAACATTTTTAATTATAAGTTATCAATTATCGAACAAGTTGTTGTACGTAAACTTGATTCGATCTAGCGTTATCACAGTCAACCAAAATTTATATATAATAACTATGTTAGAAAATGACGTAAAGTTCTTGATGTATATAATTCCATTTTTTTTCCTCTTATTAGATAGGTGTGATTAATTTCAAGCTAGATTCCGAATCGACAACAACATTATATCTACAAATACAAGTAATTATTAACCCCAATTTTGGAAGGAAAAAAACCACACGAGTTGATTCTTTACTTTGATGAACGAACGTAGATTAGGAAAGTACCACCGAATCAAATAAGTAACATAAGTCGGTCGGTATGTTGTAGTCTTTGGGAAATAAAGAAAATAAAATTCTATTTGACTTGGTAATAAATTATAGGGCATAATCATATGATGCCATATTAATGTACGATCATTCCACAACTGCTCTCTTTGTCGTGAAAAGGTTGAACTGATGAGAAGCTAACACACTTTGTGACATAACCAAAGCCAAAAAAAAAGGATAACAAAAATATCCTTCAACCAAGTCATTTTCTCAACTACTCTTTTTCCTTGGCCAAGGTCAAAGCCATGCATCACCATTTTTATTTTTATTTCATTATTGTTACTTTTTTATAAACTAATAAAAGTCTATTAATTACTAATACTTAAACAACCAAACTTGTCGAAAATAAATATTAGATCAAAGAACTTTAACTTCTTACGAAATTGGGTTTTGATATAATCAAATGATTGCGTCTCAAGACACAAAAAGAGGAAAAGAGAAATCGTGTAGAGACGACACTCTATATATTCAGAGTAGTAAAGTAATGATGTTTTCGATAGATAATACTATGAAAGGATAAAACTTGTTGTGAACTATGGAATGCTCTAAATCTTTTCTAACTTAATTCCGAGTTTTCATGTAAACGAAGGAACAAAACATAAGAGATATGATCGAAACTTCTGAATTTAATTAGGAATATAGTGGAACAACATCCATGAATCTAATTGTCATAAGTTGCTTTAATTAATCATACGAAAAAAATGCATGCGTGAGAAGTGATAAATTGTCTTAATATAAAATGACAAATAATACAAATTATATATTGGTTTTACCATCTATAAAGAGTACTTTTTTTATATAGGAATGTGAATATCATATAAAATGAAAGAGAGCTTATACAAAAGAGCTTAACCTAGAAATGTAAACTTGCCAAAAAAGAACAAAAAGCAAAGTTTACAACAGATTGTTGAGTGTCAATCAACAAAAACTCATCTAATCCAACGAACCATAAGGTCCCTGAAGAGTTTCTGGGTCCGTCTGGCAGATATTGTATTTCTATCTATAAAGAGTACTTATAAGCTTATAATTTTATAAGTTTGATATGAATGTAAAGTGCACTACTCAATTCTTTATGTGGTTTCTAAAGAAGACCAAAATGTTATGTCAAAGTTTAGGCACAGTTTTAATTACTATATAACATGTCTACACAGACGAAATAATGTACACACGAACATCTTAGTATGACCGTTGACTTCTGCCTCCATTGATAAAAGGCTAAAAGCCGAAACATTTTCATTTACGAGCCTTCCCATTCCATTTTCCCACATCTCTCCTCTGACCTCTCTTTGACCCTTCTCTCTCTCTAGATCTCTCAATAAAACAGTGAAAAAAACAAACAAGAAACACAAAATAGAGAGAGAGAGACATTAAATCCCAAAACTTTGTTCTCTCTGCATTTACTCTTCTCCAACTCAGAGATAGAGTCCCTATGCACCGATTCTAATGACCAATCATCTCTCTCCTTCTTCATCATTCTCTATCACACAAATGCCATAAAAACTCCATTTCCTCTTCCTCAATACACCAAACCAGAACAAGAAGAAGAAGAAAACATGCAGCCACTAGTTCTTCTCGTTCTGTTTATCCTCTGTTCTTCACTAGAGTCCGGTTCAGGTCAACCCGGTATCATCAACAACGATTTTCAGACTCTTCTCGAGGTGAAGAAATCTTTCGTCACGACTCCACAAGAAGACGATCCTCTCCGACAATGGAACTCTGTTAACGTCAACTACTGTTCTTGGACCGGAGTCACATGCGACGATACCGGTTTATTTCGTGTAATTGCTCTAAACCTTACCGGTTTAGGATTAACCGGTTCGATTTCTCCTTGGTTTGGCCGGTTTGACAACCTAATCCACCTTGATCTATCTTCCAACAATCTAGTTGGTCCCATCCCAACTGCTCTCTCCAACCTTACTTCTTTGGAGTCTCTGTTTCTCTTTTCTAACCAACTCACCGGCGAGATTCCGAGTCAGCTCGGCTCCCTCGTTAATCTCCGGTCGCTAAGGATCGGAGACAACGAGCTTGTCGGGGCTATACCAGAGACGTTAGGGAACTTGGTTAATATCCAGATGCTTGCTCTGGCTTCGTGTAGACTCACCGGTCCTATACCGAGTCAGCTCGGTCGACTCGTCAGGGTTCAGTCATTGATATTGCAAGATAACTATCTCGAAGGACTGATTCCGGTGGAGTTAGGAAACTGCTCTGATCTCACTGTGTTCACCGCGGCGGAGAACATGCTCAACGGGACGATACCGGCGGAGTTGGGACGGCTCGGAAGCCTAGAGATACTCAACTTGGCGAACAACAGTCTCACCGGAGAGATACCGAGTCAGCTCGGTGAAATGAGCCAACTCCAGTATCTTAGCTTGATGGCAAATCAACTTCAAGGTTTTATCCCCAAGAGTTTGGCTGATCTGAGAAATCTTCAAACGCTTGATTTATCGGCGAATAATCTCACCGGAGAGATACCTGAAGAAATCTGGAACATGAGTCAGCTTCTGGATTTGGTTCTAGCAAACAATCACCTCTCTGGTTCTTTACCAAAGAGCATATGTTCGAACAACACAAACTTGGAGCAATTGATTTTGTCTGGAACTCAGCTTTCAGGTGAAATCCCTGTGGAATTAAGCAAATGTCAATCGCTTAAACAGCTCGATTTGTCGAACAATTCGCTAGTTGGCTCGATCCCTGAGGCATTGTTTCAGCTAGTCGAACTCACGGATCTTTATCTCCACAACAATACCTTGGAGGGTAAGTTATCTCCTTCCATATCAAACCTCACCAATCTACAGTGGCTTGTGTTGTATCACAATAACTTGGAAGGTACGTTACCAAAGGAGATCAGCACGCTCGAGAAATTAGAGGTTCTGTTTCTGTATGAGAATCGTTTCTCAGGGGAAATCCCAAAGGAGATTGGAAATTGCACAAGCTTGAAGATGATCGATCTGTTTGGGAATCATTTCGAAGGAGAGATTCCTCCTTCAATAGGAAGACTAAAGGTGCTTAACTTGCTTCACTTGAGACAGAACGAGCTTGTGGGTGGACTTCCCACCAGTTTGGGTAACTGTCATCAACTGAAAATCTTGGATTTGGCGGATAATCAGCTCTTGGGATCGATTCCTTCGTCTTTCGGGTTCTTGAAGGGATTGGAACAGTTGATGCTTTACAACAATTCTCTTCAAGGAAATCTTCCTGATTCACTTATCAGTCTGAGGAACCTCACCAGAATCAATCTCTCTCACAACAGACTCAATGGAACAATTCATCCGTTATGTGGTTCGAGCTCGTATCTCTCATTCGATGTCACAAACAATGAGTTTGAAGATGAAATCCCTCTGGAGCTAGGAAACTCTCAAAATCTTGATCGTCTCAGGTTAGGCAAGAATCAATTCACAGGGAGAATCCCTTGGACGTTGGGAAAAATCCGCGAGTTGTCGCTGTTGGATATCTCAAGCAATTCTCTCACAGGAACCATTCCGCTACAGCTCGTCTTGTGTAAGAAGCTGACACACATCGATCTCAATAACAATTTTCTTTCAGGTCCAATACCTCCATGGCTTGGAAAGCTTTCACAGTTAGGAGAGCTCAAGCTTTCTTCTAATCAGTTTGTTGAGTCTTTGCCTACTGAGCTGTTCAACTGTACAAAGCTGCTTGTGTTGTCTCTTGATGGAAACTTGCTTAACGGGTCCATCCCGCAAGAGATTGGTAACTTGGGAGCTCTCAATGTCCTTAACCTCGATAAGAACCAGTTTTCAGGTTCACTTCCTCAAGCTATGGGCAAGCTTAGCAAGCTCTACGAGCTTCGGTTATCAAGAAACAGCTTCACAGGAGAAATCCCAATTGAGATTGGACAGCTTCAGGATCTTCAAAGTGCTTTAGATCTCAGCTACAATAACTTTACCGGAGATATACCTTCAACAATTGGAACATTATCAAAGCTGGAAACACTTGATCTTTCTCACAATCAGCTTACAGGGGAAGTTCCTGGCGCGGTAGGGGACATGAAGAGTTTAGGCTATCTCAATCTCTCTTTCAATAACCTCGGAGGCAAACTCAAGAAACAGTTCTCAAGATGGCCAGCTGATTCCTTTGTAGGCAACACAGGTCTCTGTGGAAGCCCGCTTAGTCGCTGCAACAGAGTTGGAAGTAACAACAAGCAACAGGGTCTTAGTGCCAGATCAGTTGTGATAATATCAGCAATCTCAGCATTGATAGCGATTGGTTTGATGATACTTGTAATCGCTCTCTTCTTCAAACAAAGGCATGATTTCTTCAAGAAAGTGGGTGATGGAAGCACTGCGTACTCATCGTCAAGCTCTTCTTCACAAGCTACACACAAGCCTCTCTTTCGAACCGGAGCTTCAAAGTCAGATATTAAGTGGGAAGACATTATGGAAGCCACGCATAATCTAAGCGAAGAGTTCATGATTGGATCAGGAGGCTCTGGGAAGGTTTACAAGGCGGAGCTTGATAATGGTGAGACTGTTGCTGTGAAAAAGATTCTCTGGAAGGATGATCTCATGTCAAACAAGAGCTTCAGCAGAGAAGTTAAGACGCTTGGAAGAATCAGACATAGGCATCTGGTTAAGCTAATGGGTTACTGCAGCAGCAAGTCAGAAGGATTGAATCTGTTGATATATGAGTACATGAAGAACGGAAGCATCTGGGATTGGCTTCATGAGGAGAAACCCGTGCTCGAAAAAAAGACGAAGCTTATAGACTGGGAAGCAAGATTGAGAATAGCAGTAGGATTGGCTCAAGGAGTAGAGTACCTTCATCATGACTGCGTTCCTCCTATTGTTCACCGTGATATTAAATCCAGTAATGTGCTCCTCGATTCAAACATGGAAGCACATTTAGGAGATTTCGGTCTTGCCAAGGTCTTAACTGAGAACTGTGATACCAACACAGATTCAAATACCTGGTTTGCATGCTCTTATGGCTACATTGCTCCAGGTACTCATCTTATCAAGTTTCTTAGCTTTCATGCATATTCACTGTTTTGAAATCTAAAGATTTGAAATTGTGTTTCTAGAGTATGCTTACTCATTGAAGGCGACTGAGAAGAGCGACGTTTACAGTATGGGGATAGTGTTGATGGAGATTGTGACTGGGAAAATGCCAACCGAGTCAGTGTTTGGTGCAGAGATGGACATGGTGAGATGGGTTGAAACACATCTTGAGATAGCGGGTTCTGTGAGAGATAAGCTCATAGATCCAAAGCTTAAGCCACTTTTGCCATTTGAGGAAGATGCGGCTTATCATGTGCTTGAGATTGCACTTCAGTGCACAAAAACTTCTCCCCAAGAGAGACCATCTTCTAGACAAGCTTGTGATAGTCTTCTCCATGTCTACAACAATAGAACGGCGGGTTATAAAAAGCTGTGAAAACTGATACCTGCAAATGTTTTTGTAGACATGAAAACTGTAAACTTTCAAATTTTTACTGAATTTCTGTTTCTGCTTTGTATAGATACATGGTTTCAGTACAAAGATTGTTTCGAACTTAGCATCTGTTACACAAAACACTTATTGTCTTGCCTGCCTGCACTTGTTATACAGCTTGAACCAATTTTAAACAGAGTGATTCTGAAATTTTCAATTCTCTTAACAGAAGATAAAAGTTTGCAAGGTTTATCATTTCGCCATTATTAACCAGGTACAAACAGATTAAGATTGTGAAAACACAAATCTTTAGGTTCATATTCGAAAACAGAGAATGAAAAGAACTCCAGAGCTGAAGTCAAAGAGAACTAGCTCTAAGAAAAGGAGAAGAAACGCTTTTACAGGGAAGATCAAACAAAACAAGCACTTGCGATGACTTCAGGGGAAGATATTCTTTTCTGAAGACTTTGAAGATCACGCAAAACTAATCCCGATCTTCATCTGCATTACAAACACAGAAAGAATAGTTTAAATATTCCAAGCTATTAAAAGTAAAAGGTCATTAGCTAAGAATGCATACTTATTCAATCCAACAAAGCAAGAAATGTAAAACGCCAAATATGGTGATCAACAAAACATGAAACTAAAGAAGAAATTCGTTAAACTCGACATATGTCAAATGATTTGTTTAAGAAGAGTTTGTGAAAGCTTCACAACTTCAATTGATTGGTAACTAAAACGAGACACATCTACATCTGTGGATCCCTCTAAATTAACATCTAGTTTCTATGAACTGGCACCTTGCAACATATCTCACTCAAAAACCAAAGAACTAGTCGAAAGTATCTATCTTTCCACACTCAATGAGATCTTCTTCATAAAAAACATTACGTTTCTCAAATTATCTAACTTTCATAACAGTGCCTTACTAAACAGATTTGCAACAAGCTAAACCTGCACGGAGATTGACTCAATTGACAAACTTCCAAAAGATTAAACCTTGAGCTAAACAAGAGCACACCCAAATCACAGAAAAACGAAATGATGTAGCCTAAGTTTCATTGCCAAAGAATTCAATTACCATTGTAACCATTTCATACGCCAAAATCGTCCCTTTTTTTCTCCAAACGGCCACAAAATAAAACACAAAGCAAAATTTGAGAAGCTGATAAACCAAAAAAAAAAGAAAAGATGATAGTATACCAAAGTAACGGCGCTCATTAGCAGCTCTGGCTTTAGCAAGCATCACATCGAGATCTTCCTTAAGCTTCACATCCCATTTCACAAGCTGGTTCGCGAACACAGCACCAAGTCCCATACCCACCACATGCTCCCACGGATCTAACAAATTTCAACATCCAATCAGAACCCGAATCCAATGAATCGAAATTTCATATTCTCAACAATCGAATCAGAAAATCAGAAAACAAAATTAGGGTTGTTGTTGCATTTTCGATTGGTGGACGACTTACGACGCATATATGGGAGCTTGCGGAGGGCGTTGGAGTACATCTGGGTTCCGAGACCCAATAAAGCTCCGACCATTGTCGCACTCAAAGGCATCGTTCCTTCTTCGGATCTTCTGAAATTTGTTGATTTTTTCTGTGTTCCAAGCAACGATGATTCTCCGATCTCCGGTTAAGTGATTACTCGGACTTAGCTTCACAACGTTGTCCCCACACATTACATTGCCATTTTAGTGTGTGGCCTCATATGGGCTTGGTCTTGGGCTTGGGCTTGGTCTTGAGCTTGAGATTGGGCTTGAGTTTGGGGTAGTTTAAATCTCCTATAGTCCATCTATGTGCTATGTTTATTTGTTTTCGAAAATGTTAGTAAGTTTAGACAGAAAAAAAAAAAAGCACCAAAGAAAACTGTTTAACATTAACAAAAAGTTTAAAACTACCAAATGCTGAAATTTAGGTGAATTATCTTCTATACTTAAGCAACATACACAAAGATTTTGGATAGAAATTAAATTAGTTAACTTCGTTTTTAATTGGAATAGAGTTTGACTCCAGCTTCCAGATGTAATTTACGCCAAAACTCTAATTTTGTTTTCTATCTATTTTTTTTTTTAAAACCTTCACCGTCAGATTAGTCAAAGAATCTAATTTTATTTTGATTCGGATAGGCTATAAAATAGTTACCATATTTAATATTTACCAAATTACACGAGTCAAAGACTATAAATTTATTATTTTGAGTTACCATAGTACTGTTCAATGAATCAATGGAACTTCTCAATGGTATTTTATAGTAAAATTTCTAGAAATAGCATAGCATGCATGGTTAATCTTATGTAGATTTCATTTCATAATTATGGGATATGCTCAGATTTTATTACATATAATTAATGAATTTGTTGGGGAAAAAAAGTTAAATAACTAAAAATCCTTTAGATAACACTAAATCCCAGAGAATTGAATAACAATGATCATTGAAGGCTGAAGCATATCCAAGGGTTTTAATTAATTTTAAAAAATTAATGGAAAGAACAATGGAAAAGTGCTTCTAATCTTACCATATCAGTAAATGTGAAAAAAAAAAGAAAAAAAAAGAGTGTATTCATGTATCAATTAAATAAAGTCAACTCTAATTTAGAGTAGAGATCCCTTCATAGAATGCCATAATTATGCTCTCCCTCTTTCTTTGACACTGTCTCTCTTCTCCCCTTATAAACCCTTTTTTTTTCAAGTTTTTAAAGTGTTACATGACTCATCTATATTTGGATTATTTCTTCCTCCAAAAGGTAATATTATTTACCTAAATAAATATTAGTGGATGATAATAACATCAAATCTAAAAAAAAAGAAGTTGGAATAGAGAAAAACAGCAAGACTTTTAATTTTTCTTCTAGCCTTTTTTTCTCCATTGCTCTGTCGCTTCGTTTTCCTTTGTTCTGTCTCTCCGAATTCCTCTTATCTTTTAACCAAAATTTCATTTTCGTGTTCGTGTTTGAAAAATCTCTGTCATCAAATGGGGTTTAAACTATTTCGATGCTCTTGTTCTTCTTCCCCAGAAGGGGTCAAGAAATAAGAAAAAACAGAGCATTAAAATATCAAAAAAAGTATAAAGAGAAAGATCCGATTAAATAGGATTTGTGTTTTTTCGATTTGGGGTGTTGATGGAAATGGCGTCCTCTGAGGTAGATATGTCTTCATGCCAAACTTTTAATTGCGTCTTGAGTCGTCCTCACGAGAGATGCACCCAAAGAGACAACAACAACAAGAAGAAGAACAAAAACAATGTCCGAAACGTACACGTCGCCGCCTTCGAGAAGAATCTCAATGTTTTTGTCAGAGATCATCTCGAAAACTGTAGCGTCTCTATTGCTGATGATGTTGATGATTCCACCAAAGCTGTTCCGGAATGTTCTTCTTCCAACAAATCCTCTGTTTCAGATCATCGGTTCTCGAAAACAGAGGAATCTCGGCAAGACGTCCCTTCATCGTCTTCTTCTCTAGGATCCGACCAAGATCCGAATTCGGGTCAACCTGAGAACCCGTCAAGGGCTGCTTCTTCTTTGGTTCAGATATGGGAGGCGAGGACAACGCAGCAACCACCGAGCTCGAACCAATCCTTAATCGATAGTCGAACGAGTTCAATGGGATCAAACGCTTTAGAGAATTCGGAGTCTCTCGAATCCGTTAAAGAATCTGAAATGATTCAACCGATCGAAGAAGGTAACAATGAAGAGGAAGAAGAAGGGATTGAATGTGTATCACAATCTGTCCCTCCACCTCCAGATTCTGGAGAGAAAGATAGAGAAGGGGTTAGAGTTATGGATATTATTCGGAAACTAAGCAACGACTCCGAAACGATGACTAACAATGATAATGGAAGCAGCAGCAATGACAATAGTAAAGAAGTTCAGACAACAGAAGCAAGAAGTTTTCCTCAGGTTGCTTGTTCCCCAAGAATAAGAGGTCGTCAAGCGTTGGCTGATTTATTGGTGCAGATGACGCGTGATCGAGAAAAGGACTTGGCTTGTTTACGAGAACGTCATTGTGTTTCAAAGTTCACAAATCGCGGACGGATTCAGGTATGTAATTTGGTGATCTCTCATCAAGACTGATGTTTAAAATGTAGGGTTTTAGTTAGGGCTAATGATATTTTATTGCTTTGTGTTTGTTGTTGTATTTAGTCGACGCTTAGAATTCGATGTTACGAAATGTGCATTGCGATTCAAGGTAGACATCGGTCTAAATCAACATCAGCAGGATCTGATTCAAACCGGTCATCAAGAGGGTCTGGTGTGATGCATCTTCTCAGGTAATGTTTGTTGATCTTTTCAGGTTTGGTATATGATGAGTTTAAAGTTTTGAATCAATGAAATGAAATGCAGGGAGAAATATAAGGGAAATTCTGAGAACATTGAGACTGGAGCTTCATCTAGTAATGTGTCTACTCGGGGTCGGATTATGGATAAACATCCTCACAAAGCTACAGAGAAGAAGGTTTTGCAAGAAACAATAGAGAAGAGTGGATTAAAGGAGGTGCTTTCTGCGGTTGAAAATGCGAAGAAAGCTGTCTTGAGTGAGATTTCAGAGAATAAGAGTAGTTTAAAGAAACCTGAAGGAGGAACTATTCAGAAGGAAACTACAGACAGGAGAGGCGAAAAGCGAGAGACGAAGGAGAAAGTTGTTTCCAAAGAAAGTGTTGACGGGAAAGGTGAGAAGCAAGAATTAACAACGGAGAAAACTATTGCTAAGGAAAATGTTGACGGGAAGGCTTTGGTTGGAATAGCTGAGAAGGTGAATCTATGGAACTCAGAGGAGATAATGAATAGAAGAAAAGTGGTGGAGAAAGGTAAAACTGTAGGCAAAGCTAATACTGAGAGAGTTGAGAAAAATGATGTATTGGAAGAAGCTACAAGAAGAATTAGTAATGCCGAAAGTGCCGAAAGAAGCAGCACTACTACTTCAAGGGAAATGATGATGCCGCGGTGTGAGTTTTCAGAGAATGTAGACAGAAGAAAGGAAAAGAAAGATTGTGTTTCAGTGGAAACTAAGCCCAAAGAAATTGAAAATAGAAACATTAAACCTCAAGAAGTTACTACACAAGCAGATAGTTGTTTGCGTAAACCGGCAGAGGAAAAAGTTTTGCAGGAGACAACGGCAAAGAATGACTTAAAGAAACCTCTTGAGAAGGAAAGTAGAGAAGGGAGGCGAGAAATGGTGGAAAGTGTAGAAGAAAACACTTTGATGGGAATAGCAGAGAAGGTGAATCTTTGGAACTCCAAGGAGACAAAGAATAGGAGAAGAGCTATGGAGAAAGGAAAAGGTAAAACTGAAGGCAAAGCTTATAATGAGACAAATGAAGTGTTGCAAGAAGCTTCAAGAAGAATCAGTAATGTCGAAACTGCGGAGAGAAGCATTGCTACTTCAATGGAAACGGTGGAGAAAGTTGTTGGTAACAAAGTTATGATGGATAAAAGAGAGAGTATTGGAGAAACTACGCGGAGTAAATCGGCAGAGAAAGAGGAAGATTTGGCTTCTGTAGAAGCCAAGTCCAAAGAGATTATTGAGAATAAAAACATGAATCCCCAAGCTGCAAGTGGCTTTAGAGAGAGGGATAAAGAGAAGAACTCTTCACAACATGGTGAAGCTAAGTCAACTAAAGAGATTGAGAGAAACAATTCTCAAGAAGTTACACAAGAAGAAAAATCTGTGAGTCATGGCTCTAGAGAAAGGGATAAAGAGAGAAGTTCCTTACAACACTGCGAAAAAATGAGCTTTCTGCGAAACTCAGAAGCTAAGTCTACTACAGAGATTGAGAGAAACAAGTCTCAAGAAGTTTCACAAGAAGAAGATTCTACAAGTCAGGGCTCTAGAGAGAGGGCTAAAGAGAAAATTTCTTCACAACAGGATGATGAATCGTCGGTTCTGAGAAATCCAAATGACCAAAATGGCATTAAGGAATCGGAGGATGAAGGAAGCAAGAAGGTAGAACGCGAAGAAAAGGGAGAAAATGTGGAAGCAGCAGTAGAGTTTGTAAATGTTTGGGATGAAAACGAAATAGAAGAAGAAGAAGACGAAGAATATGGAGAGTATGATCATTTTATTGGAGATGATGATTGGATTCATGATATATCGCGGCCTCGAAGTTACTGGGAAGATCTAAGGAAAGAAAGATATCTTGAGGTTCTCAACACTGAATCAGAGAAAAAAGATATTTGCAATCTCATTGAGAGGTATATATATCTATGATCATTAATCAAATCCCATAAAAACATTCAACTTGAAACATTACTTGACTTTAGATATATTGAGACTAATTTTAATTTGCATACCGCTGTGAAGACGAACAGTTTCCAACTTTTTGACGAGCGACTTGCGGCAAAAGATCGATAATTTGATGATTAATCGCGTGCAAAGTCATATAGGCGTACCACTCAATCAAATAGAAGAAGGAGACGAAGATGAAGAAGAGTGGGAAGTTGAGTGTTCAGCAAGGAACCAAGAAGATAATGAACCAGAGGAAGAACCAGAGAAGACAAATCTTGAAGCTGCAAGCGATGTTTGCAGCCAATCATCAGCAAGGAGTAGCACGATGATGTCTTGGACTTTCAGGGATCAAGACATTGACAAGGATAACGAACCGACAACGTCGTCTTTGTCTCTTCTTGAACCTTCAGTCCCCACAGATCAATCTGTGAGTTTTGTTCTTGTTTTCTCGTCAAGTTAGGTTACATGTTGGTGAAGTAAGCTAAGATCTCAACTTATTATTAGACACAGGACATGCAAACGATAAGTGATCTCAGGAGTCAAATGGAGCAACTTCAACGAGAAATGCTCGAGCTACGGAATTCCGTTAAATCTTGCATCGATATGCAACTTCATTTCCAGAAATCTGTAACTCAAGATCTGTCTCGTTCTGGTCAGTTTTATCACCATCACCACATTAAACACATTTTAAATGATTTCTTCTCTAGAAATCAAACTGATGAACAATCTTTTAGGCTCATCTGCAGAACAACGAGTAGACACGAAGAAAGATCCTTTGAAACGAAAATGTTGCGTTTGCTCTGAGATGCCTGTTGACTCGCTTCTGTATAGGTACGTGCATTTGATATACCGCGATTTCAAATCGCAAAAGCTGAAATAATAATTGACGGTCTTGTTTTTTTTAACAGGTGTGGACATATGTGCACATGTCTGAAATGTGCTCATGAATTGCAATGGAGCAGTAAGAAATGTCCGATATGTATGGCTCCAATTGTTGACGTTGTGAGGGCTTTTCTTGATTCTTAGGACCCAAGAAACCAAGAAAATATTGATAGTTTCTCCATTGATTTGGAAATGTGACACACCTGAATATACATATAATAAACTCTTTTTTTTTTTTGGTTGTGTTTTGCCATATAATTTCAAATGAATGTCGAAGTTACTCTTAAATAATCCAACAGTCCAATAATAGAATCAATCCGTAATCTACAGAATATTATGAAATAACAACTCAAATTAGAACATTCGAGAATATTTTGCCCAGCTAGATTTAGAACATTCGAGAATACATACACTACACTTCAAGTGATCATATATATTTGTTTTGTTTAAATAAGTCCCACAATGAGATAGTAAACGAAGTATAAAAAATCGTGCGAACAACGTAGGTTATATCATCAGCCCAAAGTAATCTATGAATTTGGATATATATATATGGATCTATGTTTAGTAAAAATATTTGATGGAATCTTTGAAATTATACTAAAACACTACGGATCAAAGGAATCTTAAATTGATGGAAGACATGTTGGAAACATAAGATAACTAAGTGATAGTGTCCCAACCAATTTTCTGGGAGTGCAAATTAAAGCATCATCAACACAGATCCGAACTCCAGTTTCACTGCTCAATATAATGCAACTAACATATACGCATCGCTTGTTTATATATATGTCTAATAATTCAGTTCTTCGTAAACCTATATGGCTGTCTGATGTCTGCCAGGCCAAGCCCAATAAGAACCTCGCTGGTCCATATATAGATAAATATAGACGCAGAGGAGACTTGGTGAGAGACTTCTACTGTGGATGCTCTAACGTATCTAATGGTCGTCGATCTTTCATAGTAAATCCCTTGATTATAATAATGGGTCTCGTAATTGTTTATTCGTGAAACCTGGCAGATGCTAACACATGTGTCTTTTGGATCGTCGAGGATTACCCAATCTCTAATGGTCTCGATCTTTGTTCGTTGAAAGAGAAAATCAAATCAGCTCTTCTCGAGAATTTGGGTATTCTTGGGGACGTGTCAATCCAGGCTTACGGTGATAAGAATACGTTCTCGGATGATGAATTGCTACGTAAATTCTCCGACGCCGAAATCAAAACCGATCTCTTACCCGAAGGTGAGTCAGTCTCCTTTTGTCTCTTTTTCGTTTTATGTTTTATTTTCCTTCTTTTATGCATATATACATGTAAGTCTATAATCTCGATTTCTGTTGATATATTTTTCAGGTGATAAATATGTTCGATGTTAGTGGGCATTCACGTATGGGCAATGCTAAATCCTCCACCATCAAATATTTTTGTACTCGCAAAAAACATCAAAAATTTAGGCTTCAGTCATGACTTTACATATTTGCATAGGAAGCGTCAATTTGTTGCAGTGTCCGATATCGAACCAGATTTGCTACCTCACAATGATATAGCAGTCTCGTTTTTGACAAGCCTATTTGATGGAGGTGGAGGCTCACTACTTAACAAGCGGAAAGCAGATGATCTTGAGGCTGCTGATGTTGCAGCTGATTTGGAGTCTTGTTTTAGTGGTTACCATATGTAATTCTTGAAGGGTTTGGATTTTATGAGTTGAAACTTGGTTGCATATTTGTGTGTTCCAAAATAAACAAGTGGCCTCGGTTCTACTGTTTATGAATTTCAATTTATAAATTCAGGTTCATGAGTTAAAAAACAATCTGATGATATTTCTTTTTCTCGTATCAGTTGAGTTTAAGATATAATTTTTTTTAAATGGAGGTTAACAGTTATGTGAAGTAATAAACTTTATCCTCAAGTGTAATCCTGTTAATGCATGTCTAATAAATAAAACATTGACTCTAAACAATCTCATTTTAACATAGCTCACTATTTTGATGTCAAAATCATAAAAATTTTAAGTCAAGATCTTCAACTTGAACTTAAACCTCAAGTACCTCATTTTGATTTGAGGAAAGTTGACTGATCGAAATCGAACAACCGCAAAAAAGCGTACATGTACTAAAACCATACCAATTCTTCTATGAAACCAATACTTAGTAGTAAATTCAATTTGTTGAGAAAAAGCTAAGAGTAAACTAAAGAGGGTAACAACGAATCTTGGTCTTCTTGGAGATATGAATAAAAATGTAGCATTTGGAGGCTATGATGTAAGAAAATGCTTTTCGATTGTTCTGAGCTTTGGAAGAGTGAAAATTAAGAAATGAAAGAAGCCACACGAAAAGACATGTAGGTCAAAACGGTCAGATTTTGGAAGCTTAGAACGAAACTGCGTAATTGAAAAGTATACAAAACTTTTTTTATTTTAATTTTAAAAAGTATACAGATACATAATAAACAGCCACCGTAATTTCGTTTCTTTGTCTACAATGTCACCCTGAAAAACTCGAATTATATGCAATCAAAATTAGAAACTCAGTGTAAACCAAACCAAAACTACAAATAGTGGTTACGAAAATGACAAAAATAAAGACACAATCATTTGAGAAATTAGCTGTGATATATACCATTAGCATTTTATCATGTGTTTGATTTTTAGTGGCTGCTAATAATTATTGTTGTTGATAGATACATGACTTGCCGTTCAGCACACATGTCAAATTTGCGAAAATACGAAATAAACTATAACGGTTTTTCCGCATTATTAATATATAATGAACAATTTAGATCTTGATTCCATGATTATATACGAAACATTGTAATCAATAGTTGGTAATCATTTTTCTTAAAGTTGATAAAATTGCTCTGTCTCTTTATTTTTTTGACTACTAATAAATAGATTTTGACTAATATCCCGCCGCATTGGATTATTGAATATTTGTATCCGAATGAAGTTTAATTCAATAAAGTTAGGTGTTAGAAAAAAAAAAAAATAGATTTTGTTTACAATACACTCTTCTTTTAGACCTGACCTTCCCTTCACTATACGGTTTCCTCTGTGACGTCTGCAAGTCAAAATAATACAGAAATAAGGAAGGTGTTATTATTATTACTCAGCCAAATGAAGACATATAATTATTTTACATGACTAGAATGTTTCTTTCTTTTAATCAAAAAAAGACTAAAATCAAAAATTAAAAACAGAAACTAAGATTAAGATTTTTCATAGAATCTTTTTTTAAATCAAAAACGAAAATAGAATTAAAAATAGTACAAAACAAAACAAAAATAGAAATAAACTAAACACTCGTTGCTAAAATCGCTCCTTTCATAGGAATGTTTGTTAAACTCTAATTATGAATGGATTCATCTTTTGTAAGACTATCTTCTTTTTTGTGTTGTGGTCAAATTCAAATAGCATATTAATTCTGGAAATATCATTGAACTTACATATTACAGTAACTAAAAAAAAAACATTAATAGTTGTCAAAAAATAACAAAACAAATAATAGAATTAAAATAAAAACGACTCTTCTCGCCGACTCGTTGAAAAAGCGAGACACACATCTTCGGAGAGAATCTATTCTTCTTCTTCCACCATTTTTTCATCTTCTTCTCTGTTTCAAGAGATCCACTAGTGACTGAAGAGGCACCACCATGGCCATGGTCAAAGAGAAAGAACAAAACACTAAAGACAAAAAGCTCCTCGTCGGCGTCATATGGAACTTCTCCGCCGAGCTCAAGCTGACTTTCATGGCGTTACTTGTTCTATGCACTTTAGCCACTCTCTTACCTTTCATACCTTCTTCATTCTCTCTCTCCACTTCCGATTTCCGTTTCTGCATCTCACGCTTCTCCTCCGCCATCCCCGTCACCACCACCGTAGAAGAATCATCATCATCCTCACCAGATCGAGTTTTGGATAACGGAGTTATTAAACGGACGTTTACTGGTTACGGCTCTGCAGCTTATAACTTCGTTTCAATGAGTGCTTACAGAGGCGGCGTTAACTCTTTCGCCGTTATCGGATTATCATCAAAACCCTTACACGTGTACGGTCATCCTTCCTACAGATGCGAATGGGTCTCATTTGACCCGACTCAAGATCCGATTTCAACAACCGGGTCTAAAATATTAACCGATTGGGGTTACGGACGGATTTACACAACAGTCGTCATTAACTGTACTTTCTCATCAATCTCCGCCGTGAATCCACAAAACTCCGGTGGAACTCTCATCCTCCACGCCACCACCGGAGATCCAAATCTCAATCTCACCGATTCAATCCCAGTCCTAACCGAATCTCCCAAATCCGTCGATTTAAATCTCTATAACTCCACGAAGAAGAAGTACGATTACCTCTATTGTGGCTCGTCTCTCTACGGAAACTTATCTCCACAGAGAATCAGAGAATGGATCGCTTACCATGTTCGATTCTTCGGAGAACGGTCACATTTCGTGCTACACGACGCCGGAGGGATTCATGAGGAAGTGTTCGAGGTTTTAAAGCCATGGATTGAGCTAGGGAGAGTGACGTTACATGATATTAGAGATCAAGAACGATTCGATGGATATTATCATAATCAGTTCATGATTGTGAATGATTGTTTGCATAGGTATAGATTCATGACGAAGTGGATGTTCTTCTTTGATGTTGATGAGTTTTTACATGTTCCGGTGAAAGAGACGATTTCGTCGGTGATGGAATCTTTGGAGGAGTATTCTCAGTTTACTATTGAACAGATGCCTATGAGTAGTCGGATTTGTTATTCCGGTGATGGTCCGGCCAGAACTTACAGGTAACATTCGTGAATTTTTCATGTTTTGGACTTTGTTGGTATTAATGATTGAGCTTTAACCAAAAACCCATGTGTTGTTGTTGAGTGACTTAGAATATAGTCACAAGTTTTTTTGATTGGCTTTTTGGAATGTGACATATAATATTACATTAAGCATCTGATTCTGTCAACACTTGGCCTGTAAAAGTCTTTGTGCATTCTGTATTAGTCTCCTATGTCGGTCCAGATGTTTGCTTTTATTTCAAATCACATGATTTTAGTGAGAAATGTTTTAAAGATTCTATCCTTTGATTCCTGATTAACAAAAGAATGTGTTGAATTTATGATTATTTAGGATTTGCATCAAATTCAATCAAGGTTTTGGTTTGTAATTTTTTTGTTTAACCAGAATAACAATTGAATTGTGATGTATATTAGTTTAGTATTGAACATCTCTGATGGTTCATCTTAGGAGGGAACATTTTGGTTATCGATTTGGTTCAGTTTAGGGACTTACACT